TTTCTTTTTTTTTAACTTATAAAAATAAATATGAAATATGTTTATTATTAATATAAATTACCAAAATACAATGTAATTATATATTATTTGACCTAAATATATAATTACAAAAATAAAATATTATATTCTATGGGTAGTTCGGGTGGCCACATCCCTCTACACCATAGTAATTTCAACGTCATAATAGAATTGGTATGATGTATCATGCATACATACAACATACTTATTTGGAATAATTAGGTAATTCGCGAAGTTCTAGTATAGTTGTACATTCATTTATATTTTAAAATACTCTGCTCTTACATATTTATTCATACCCATTCATTTGTAACAGTGGTAGAGCCACGCGGCAGCTTTTGCTGCCGCACTAATGGGCCGGCTCGAACCGGGGTGGTACCACGACCTCACAGAAAACCAGCGTGAAGTGGAGATTTACCTCTGCGTTTCGCTTGGTGAGTGCAGGTGGCCGTAGGCCCTTTTTACTGGAAACAAGGCATTCCATCTTAGTCCTCACGGGTGACAACGCATCTACATTTTGATTTGTATTAGAGGATAGATGTAGATGTCTATGGGCCGCAGTAACCACTTACCATCAGGTGGACTGTGTGCTCGTTTGTCACCCTTACCGTATAAAAATAAAAATAAACTTTTCATCTCACTCCTTATTTTCGATTGTTAGGCCTTTTTATTATCTCTTTTTTTTTCATAACTCTTGTACGCACTTTTTTCTTGATTTTTTTAACCTTTAACTTATATATTTATTTATTATTTAGATACCGGGAATCGGAGTATTAATTCATTTCATTTATATTTTATTTCGTGATCTTTATCACGCGGGTACTTTATAAATTAGAGCCCCCTATTTATTTGGGTATTATATTACTTTTTCATAACATTCATTTCATTTTATTGGTACATAAACTTTTTTTTATCATACTATATCAAGGTAAAACTGTACCTTGGGTTGTGCACAACCTTGAGGTCAACGTTTAAGTCATTTTAAAAGGACTCCAACAATTGTCACGGAGGAAAACTAAGTTCACACTATGATCCAATGAAGGATATGACCTCTATATATCATCATTAAGAGTAACAAATTTAAGACTTCTCTGGTCCCCAACAGTACTAATATGAGTAAACTCGTTCACATCACTTGTACTGAAGGTATTGTTTCCTAATACCCGTTACTTCCGATTTCATCATCCAATCATGTAAACATACCCTGCTCGAGGACTATATATATGCTTTACTAGTGATGGACGTTCCCGTATCTCTCCATTACTTATTTATGCAGGTCAACATATGTTTTATTTCTATTCTCTTAAGAAATCTGATTTCCTTCTTTATTTATACATAGCCGTGTTTTTTTTAACATCTTAATATCTATTTGAGTGTATCGGTTATTTTTTATTCACTTGCATGCTCCACTTCCATATACTAACTTGCATTATTCTCGCTCATAATGAATTTCATACCAGGAGTTTAAGCATTCATCAATATTTGGGTGATCAGTCCAATATTGAGGAAACTTAGCAACTCAATCATTCGTATTCACACTTTCGAACATTCTTTTCTTCCATTCCTCATATCTTTTAATTACATACATTTTAATTATTGTACAAGTGAGATAACATTTTTGTCAGTTAATTTTTTTTTGCCGTTTTTAACTCTGTTAAGGAACATTAGTATTAAAACCTCTCTTAATTATTTTATTTCTTACTTTACTGTATTTCATTATTTTCATATTTATGTTAATACTATGACAGATCATTTCTTATTTATTTTCTGATATTATTATTTTCGTCTTTATTAGAATGGTGTTATGATTTATTTTTATGTACCTGTTCATATATCGCATGTTGCTCTCTATTGTTTTAAGATAAGCTCATTGCATAACATTACATGGCATATTTATACATTGAGATATAATGTACTATATCTCAATGTATTTATAGATATATCATTCATAAAAAAAGTTTAGCAGACCTATTATATTCACTGTGTAAAGATTGTTACATTTGAATTTTGAATTGAAATTGAATTTAACTTATCTAGATTAGTTTGTGGTCGTTAAAAGTAAAAAGTGTTATTTTAACTATAAAAGATGAAAATTTTTATTTATGATGAAACTATGGTAAATTTGAGGACGTGAAAATTTAATCTATCACATTACTTCATTAATTTTTGCACGACACAGTAACAAAAATAATATAAAACCATAACTGAATAAAAGTGAATATAAAATCGTCTTAATAAAAATATGCCACAGAAGTGCATACGTAACTTAATTTATAATTATTGCGTTTTGAATATTTTTTAAGATACAGTAATGAAAATATTAAAAAATCAATTGAATCGTAAACTATCTGATAATTACTTTCAATTTAAACATAGCTAACATATTAAATACAGAACATTTAATACATAACTTTAAAAAAAATATAATAGCAAAAAGAATATAAATCAATCTCATTAATTAGTGAATTAAAATCACACAGGTGCGAAATTACCTCTTAAGTATTTCTTCTTTGTTCTTGAAGCTTGCAAGAGTACAACCGCTGCTTTCCTATTCAAATAAACCTGCCGTTTCTTGAATTTTGTTCTTTGGTAATTATATTTTTAAAAAAATCACTTTTTATTTTCCTCCTTCTTTCTTAGTTTCTTTCATAGTAGGTACTATTATACATTTAAATTATATTACTTCATGTTCATTATACTTTTTATATTTCAGTCAGCTTCTGTACAATTATTATTGTGGCCTCTTCTTATATTCATATTTATTTATTTTTCGTCACATCCGGTATTGCGTCCATTCTGTTATATTATAGTTTTCTTTTTTAAATGGTCAATTCATAATGATATCCATTTTTTTTTTGTAAACTTTTTTTTCTCTTTATACAGGCCCGGCGGTGCGCGTGCAATGTAGCAGCGCACCGCCTGGCAGGGTCGCCATGTGATATATTAAATAAGTCAATGAAATAGAGACGTGTTGCTGCTTCTATAACTTTAATTATAATGATCTTATTCTACCTTAACACTAATATATATATAGGCGTGGGGACTATACTACACTATAAATGTGGGCATTATTATATTCAAAATAAAAGCGACAAATGTTGTGATTCTTAAAAAAATTAAATTCCCACATTTCTTAATCAGTAACGGCATTCCGATAATATTCCGGACGTCAGTCTGAGCGAGATTAGAATAGCACTCCAGCACCTTAAAAACGGCAAGGCCCCAGGCGAGGATGGAATTACAGCAGAGCTTCTGAAAGCGGGTGGAAAACGGTGCTTAAAGTCCTTCAGAAGCTCTTTAATTCCGTCCTCCATGGTGGCACTAGACCGGAGGCGTGAAGCAGAAGTGCAGTGGTCTTGAAGAAAGGCGACAACGCTCTCTTGAAGAACTACAGATCGATTTCCTTTGATGTTTTATGTAGAAAAATACTTTCATAGGTCTCAAGGCCGTAAATTAGTGAATCCAATGTTCATGACATCTTTTGATACGTCTATCACCCCGTCGCCGTAGTATCAGGTAAATTAAAAAAATCTGTTGTTCATTTTTAGACGTGCGCGACAAAAATCGTACGAAATTTTATTCGCAGTGCGTACTAGGTGTAGTTCCTATCACGGAATATAATACGCCTGAATAAAAGTTGCGCGCTGAAATATCGCAGTGCGGGCAAGGCCTAACGCGGCTAACGCTCGGTGACAGGCTCGGAAACATACTACATTCCAAATTTACCATACAAGTTCAACTAAAAGGCACAACAAATTATTAAAAACATCGAGATCGATATAAAGCCATAAATACTACTGCCTGCTACGAGAGCTAATCTCCTTTTAATTTTTGGAACGAAGTTCTTTATCGGACGGTACGGATTTGGCGGATGGGGTCTAGGCGCCAAAAAGTGTAAGATTAAGTAAAACTACTTTTACGGATTTCATCGCATTTAATTAACTTATTTTTATTATTTTTATTAATTTCCGACGTTTCGGGTGCTTTACAGCACCCATGGTCACGAGGGACGAGGTGATTGACGTCCTGATATGAGAGTTAACCCTTAAAAGCTGAAGGTACTCCGGGTTAACTCTGATATCGGGACGTCCGCGATAAAATCCATAGATGTAGTTTTATTCAATGTGTAGTTTTCGCGTAAATATAAGAAATCATTAAGTGTAAGATTTTTCCCTCATTATCCTTTCTGAGTCGCGCTCATGATATCCATCTCCCTCGCACTTTGTCTTATCTTGCCGTGAAGGCAATATTATTTAATTTCAATTGACGCTTCGTTTTAATAGACGCTAGTAATTCATTTAATTGTATTTGTCAATGAATAATATAATACTTTTATCAATAATAATATACTACGAAAAAGACTTCGTTCCAACCGAGTATTCCACGACACTCACGTATATTTCCTTTTCAATCATTATTTCATCACCTGCCAGATTTTACAATTTACTAAAACACGAGTATATTTACGACGTAACTAAATTTATAATTACCTAGTATATTGATATAATAATAAATATTTATATAATTAACTAGTAATGGACAAAGACCAATATCGACTTTGAGCTATCCGATTACTGGTTAATTTAAATCAAACGCCGTTTCCCTGAACTAACGGATCTCAAAGGACTAAAATTTGCTTAATTACCTCGGTGATGGCCAACCTGTTAGAGCAGTGCTTGTAAATTTGATATAAGCCTAATTCTAAAGGTGTTTTGTGGTGATTGATGACAGATATACGAAATATATTTGGTATCACATCTCGAAAATTGTTTTTGAATAACTATGAGTATTGCTATTAGTAACTATTAGTGGTATAAAAATAATATTTTGGCAATTATCTCACTCAACGAAAGATGTGAAAAGACTGTGATCTTAAAAAAAAGGACAACGTAGTCTTCGTATGATCATTGAGGTCTTTATAAAATTGGTCAAGATATGTATGTATATTTTTCTTTAATAACATGTTGTTATAATTTTAACAGTTATACCTCCACACGAGGAAGCGCGCCAAGCAGTCATCTGTGAGCTCGTAAACACCGAGGCCGACTACATCAAACACATAATGTCTTTAGTCGAGGTAATATTCTAAGAGTAATTTTGAAATTTTATTTCAACCTTTATTAAACTCTTTTGTTTAACTCTTTTTTTAATAGATTAGAATATTTTTTATTCACAATAAAAATGACTTAATAAGAATTATGTAATAATCTACATAATACTTATTAAAAGTCATTTTTTTATTTACCACTGGTTCGGAAAAACCTCTGTCCGGGGAAGAACCAGCAAGAAGTTCAGCGAGACTGTTTTTACAATATTTCACTTTACAATAATTTTGTTTGTACAATTTTTAAATGAATTTTAATAGAACCAGCATGGCGGCGATAACTTCATTTTTGCCGTGGTTATTCCATTAAAAAATTAATAAAGATTAACCGCATAGTAATTATTCCAGATATCGAATACCGGATATCCGGCAAGGCTCAAGGCCGGAGCGAATTTTCGACTGCCGGATATTTGGTAAAACTTGTAAATAAATCACAAAAAGTTGTGACCAGTATTTATAGAACATCTTATTCGTTAACCGTTATTTTTACACTAAAAGCTTTGGGTTCGCTGAGCTTGTATGAAATGAAAAGGACAATTATTATTAACAGCTGCTAACAATCATTACGAAACTTATTTTTGATCGAATTTCGGATTGAACAGAAACAGAAACAGAAACTTTTTTATTCAATATAGATTATAAGTAATACTTATTGAAAGTCACTCTTTTGTTTAATTACCACTGGTTCGAAAAAAAAACCTCTGTACTGGGTAGAATCAACAACAAACCCAGCGGGACATTTTTTTAAAATAACAGCTTACAATCATGTATGTTACACAATTAACAACACAACAAATTAGAAATAGCTTTGTAGCGATCACCTCATTTCCAGGGGTTATTATCATCCATAAATCCTTTAATATTATAATAACCCTTTTTATACAAACTTAGTTTAATAAAGTTTTTGAACTTTGTGCAGGTCAAATTTTGTATATTTTCTGGAATTTTGTTGTAAAAGCGTATACATCGCCCCAAGAATAAATTACTGGCTCGATGGAGTCGAGTAACTGGTGCTAGCTTGTGTCTGTTCCTAGTATTTACAGAAATAAATAAAATAAAATAAATAAATAATTAAATAAATAAATAAATAAATAAAGAATGAATATCACTTATTTTTGTAAAACTACTTTTATTTTTGTGTACGTACATTACATTTTCATAAATGTATTGAGAGACCAAAGTTTTTGTCGCAGCGGCTCTTTAGGCTTTAAATCATAAATTGCTCTTATGGCCCTCTTCTGTAAAACAAATATAATTTCAGTGTCAGCTGCGTGTCCCCATAGCAAAATACCATGCGACATTATGCTATGGACATAGCTAAAGTAAACTAGTCTAGCTGTTCCAACACTGGTAAGACTTCTAATCTTTTTTACAGCATATGCTGCAGAACTAAGTCTGTTTCTAGTTAGAACGAACCAGTGGACGACGAAGCATTATTACGTGCATTATGAATAGCGTGCTCTGTTTTCCCATGAGACAAGAATGGCTTGATGACAACGTAAAAGAAAAAGCTATTTCTTTGGTTCTTCTTTTGATTCCAACTCAACTCCAACTAATGTGAATGCTCCACGTAGAACGTTAAGTCTCTGCTTAGATTTTTTTATTTTGATTACCTTAATTCCCAAATAAAGGGATCGCGATGAAATTCCCGAATAAATACGGAAGACGTATTTTCCAGAGTTGACCCCGATTCCTACGAGTCTTTTTCAGCACCCGTACTCTCTAGGCATTGTCCCAAACTTATGGAAGATAGTTTTAGCGCACCCAATCCCTAAAAAGACAACCGATCGGACCCACCTAACTACTGCTATCTCATGAAATGCCTTAACGAACATCAGCTGATTAGTACAGTACAGTACAGTTTCTATCGGGGGCGCTCATCTGGTGATCTTCTTGGTCGGTGTGTCAGGTAGACACACCGACAAGCAATGAATCCAATTCTGTTTAACCCTCAGAAAACACAGGTTTGTGTGCACCTCTAAAAAGAAACCCACTGTCACTTAACTGTCTTTTGAAGTAATTTCCGTTGTTGCCTCAACCTCAGTTTAACTACGAATTCAGTACGTAGTACGATCAGTAGTACAATTGTGTTTTGTTATTACGAGTAATGTGGTTTTAAGTTGTAATTAGTGTTCTGTAAATAAAGTGTCAATTTTGGTAACTAACTCGGCAGTTTTTAATTGTCTCAAACCCCAAGCTCGTACACACAACGAGCTCGGAAATGTTCGAGAACAGTTTTGTTGTGATTGTATACTTGTTAGTTATTGGGATAAATTCGCAGCGCCTTTTCAAACGCAAATTGGCCAGTTGGTTCTTTGTTTAGCCGATTCATTAAAATAGCAAAATGTTCTGATTAAAGTTCACCAATTCGTAATGCATTCAAGAGTTATTTCAATGTTATGCTACCTTGTTGTCCCATATTTTCGGTCAATTCAATTAACGAGAAAGAACACCATAGGTGTGTAGCTTGAACAAATCTAGAGGGTTGATCAAACACTTGATTTTCTCGCACAGAAAATAACTGCATTGAGTCATTGTTTATTAGTGGTTTAATTCGGGAATCCACCATACAAAGCATTTCATATGGGACCATAGAGATTTCATCGATATATAAAAATTAAATATGTTACCACTGTTGCCGCAACAAACGCAAGTAATTACCAGTAAGAATAGGCATTTGCACTACTCTACCATACTTTTGTACAGGCAATTTTAGTGTAGAATGTAATGTGGATCTTCCCACTAAGCGTGCTTAGTTGTTCAGGTTTGTGCGCTTACAGGGGGCACAAACATTAACAACTGTCTTGCCGTAACACCCATTTACTGAAATTTTTAAAAAGTTAAAAAGGAAGGTCTTTCCTTTCCCAATGTTACCCGTTACGAACAACCTTAGACACTCATCGCTTTGATTATTTAGCTGTTCTGTAATACTCCTTGTTATGAATAAAAATGCATCCTTTTGTCCAACATTCATGGTTCTTCTAATATTAAAGAATTCGTCATCGGTCATGTGCTGTTCTGGCATATCCAACTTTTCTTTTCTTTATAGGATAAGGTTGACAAACGAGCACACATTCCATCTGATGGTAAGTGAAAGCTGTGGCCCATAGACATCAACATCTATCTTCGATTACGAATCAAAATACAGAAGCGTTGTCACCCGTGAGGACTAAGATTGAATGCCTCGTTTCCGCTAAAAAGGGTCTCCGATTCTATACACTCACCATACGAAACACAGCAGCGTTAAGCGGATTTTTTTCGTTGTTATACTGTGAGAGCGTGGTCCTTCCCCGGTCTAGCCGACCCATTCGTGCTACAACTATACTACTAATAGCTGCAGCATGGCACTACCACGTATAAAAATTCTTCAAAGTATTTCCTGTTGATCTTCTTGATTCAAGACTTCAAAAGCATGAATTTGGTTAAAAGAATTCTCCAGCTATCGCTCACGCTCCCTAAATATCTCCAAACGTGCGTTAGTTGCGCGGAGATCAGATTCTCTTGCCAGAAAAGTTTCTTTTGATGTATCATAGTCAACGATTAATTCGCTCTCATCTCTATATGGAACATACTGAAGAAGGAAGCTATAGTAATAGTTATCTGGATTACTGGCAGCCACAAAATATGGCACGCATACAACGGCAGCAACATTCCTGATTACCATTTTACTATTATCTGTAAGTGTAACGATTCGCTGTCTAGTTTGACTTTCTAGTTCATATAATATATCAACACATTCTTCGGCTTATTGGTTGCTGAAACAACGCAAAATCATACCAACACCGACATGGAATTTTTAATTTAAGCAAATTGTGTTAAAACATGTACTTTAAATAACAATAACCTTTCTATATTTATTAATAATATGATATGATATTAATAATACAATGTGGCACCTACATATATTTCCTTTTCGGATCGGACAGGCTTTATTACGTAATGTTATAAAGATAATGTAATAAAGTATTTTATGATATTCGGATAGCTTTTTTAAATAATGTATTTCAATAAATTATTTTTCTAATAAAAAATCATGTAGATTATAATAAAAAAAATAGATTTGTACACATAATATTAGATTTAATCTAAACAAAATACTTTTTATAAAATAAACAAAGGCGAATTTATAAAATATTAGTGATTCGCCCATGCTTCGCACCTGTGATTTATGGATCTCAACAATAGCGCCTCCTACCGATTTCAAATGTGAAACTAAACCAACATACAAAAAATATCATCAAAATAATATGACGAGCTGTTTTTGAGTTTTAGCGAGACTAACGGACAGCAATTGTTATTTATATATAGAGATGTCCTCAACGTGAGGTAAAATTATTATTTCTTTTCATTTGATATAACTTTTACTCAACTCGTTATGGGATCTCTCCAAGTAATTATTATGATTATTTCACCCCAATAATAGGGGTTAAAGTACCTGTGAAGTTGTCGTTTAATAAGGGTGGCCAGTGGCCACCTTGAAATAAAATTAAGCCTGTTGAACCCAGATTAATTCTTAATATTCTATTGTTTTGTTTTCCAATTGTTTTACATTCAGTATCTGAATTAAGTTAAACATTGACGGACTCACTCATATCGGCACAATGCAACAAATGTTTAAAGTAGCTCTTTCTCTTTTATCTATATGACAGTAGAAAGAGACAGATTTATAGATAATTAATACATAATTTAAGTGAGATTTAATACATAAGTAAGGCCGCAAAATCTCATAAATTGAGAATATAATAAGAGTAATTTTAATATACGAGTCCCAACGTGGTTCCGACGCAAAAGAGACAGCTTCCAATATCATTCTGATTTTGGAGAGGATATGACTAACCAACGCATTTTGGTTTAATCCTTTCCTTGTAGAAAGTTCGACTTGAAGAATGAACCACGAGGAGAATCAGAAACTTAAGTAATTAAAAATAAAACTCAGCCTCCTGCATTATTACAACTGGAAGCCGATCTTTATCAAACAACGTTTGCTTTTGAACGTTAGCTTACCCATAATATTGATTCATTTGCTATTTTTAAAATAAAAACACTGGAGAAATGGATGCCTCTTGAATTAAAAGATGTACGAAGAGACAAATGCGTTGAAGTTTACCTTACTTGGATGAATATGTACAGAAATAAAGGTATTTAAAACAGAATTTTGATGTGTGATGAAAAATGGATTCTCTACGATAGTCGCAAGTGAATAACGCAATGGCTGAACTCAAATCAAATACTGGCCCAATGCTCTAAACCGAAGCTCGCCCATAGAAAATAATAGTAACTTTTTGGTGGTCACTTCTTGGTTTTTATAGTTTATTATAGTATATTGAAATCCGCTGTAACAATAACAGCAGTTGCCTATTGTGGAAAACTTCGAACAATGATAGCGAAACTCTCAGAGGAATAACCTCGACTCGTCAATGGAACTGACTAATTATTTCTTAAATTTAAACGAATACTTGACATTGAATAAAACTAATTTTACGAATTTACTTAATTTACTTGTTTTTGATTGAGGCACACTCTCCGAAGTACAATCTGTAGAAGACCGACAGACAAGCAACTTGACAGCGGTGAGCTGAGCTGTGTAGCTTAGTTTCCACCAGCTTTTTATTGCCGATAAGCCCCTCCAGGCTCTGCGTTCCACTAAGTCGAGTGTCGCAAGTTGTTATTTTTGGACTTGAGCTTTGTATAAAGTTAGAAGCTTTTTAGGCGTGGATTATCGCTTCACTTTGTTTAGGATACCTAGTTTTTGGCCGCAGTTTGTGATTTCGACTCAATTTTCACGCCAAAGTTGAGGTTAGCACTCAACTGTAACTCGAGATGGTCAGTAACCTCTACAGATGTACCTCGGAAAGTAGGAGTTAGATCAGATGGACTCCTTTTTGCGGAGAACAGACATGCCTGCGTTTTGTGACCAGATTGTCGTCACCCCATTGGAAGACTGGACTTAAGGTTGCATTTATCCTAACCACCATGACCTTTCTAAATGAACGTATAACTGCCCCACCGTCTTTTACACTGCACATGAATCTCTCTATAAGAAATAAATTAATTAATAAAAAACCGTATATAACTGAAAACGAATGTGGGTTTTATACAGATTTATACCATTGAATATTATACCATAAACGTAATTATTGTCAGTATACAATTTTTCATTTTATTATTAAAATCAGATAATATTACTTATCCACTTCCGAACAATTTGTCCTAATCATTTGCAGTCGAAGTGAAAATCGGGGGTCAGAAAGAATCTACACTATATTGCATGCTAAAGTCATTAAAACAGTTAAAACACCATATAGTAACGTATAGTTTCTTTAAATGTTTAATTTCTATAAATAACATAAAATATAAATTGTATACTTCTATCCATTTTTATGAGTTCTTTCGTATTTAATATCATTATAGTATGTATTATTTTTAATAATAACTGCAATTTGTGGAAAATATAATCCATACTCCAAAGAAAAACGTTTTGAAGCTAACTTAAAATTATTTAAAGTATATGACATAACTGTTTTACGCAGGTATTTATGGCTGCAGCGCATTCGCTTCAAGATGGTGGTTTCATTCTGGATGTTGATACGGAGCGTTTGTTCTCAAACATTCCAGATGTACTGAATGCCAGTCTACATTTCTGGAATGTAACCTTTTACCCTATGTTGATCGATGCTGTAGAAAATGGCGTGGTGTAAGTACATTTTACTTTTATCTAAATCTCATATGCTCTTAAATGTATAATCATCCAGTTAAAAAATTAAAATGAGAAGCCCAAGAGTGCACACCTCGTTAGGTCATTCTTTAGTTAAACGTTTATTAATTATCGGTTCGGCTGCCTGGTTGGTCCAGTGGTCCTGAAGTTTTCAGTAGCAGTCCGGAGTCAGGAGGTTGGCGGTGTTTCACTCCAGTGCCTCGGAAAGCACGTAAAGCAGCACTTGCGCCTGTTCTCTCTTCGGTCGGACAGCAGCCAATAAAATAATAGAATGCAGCATGAGTGCTTAAGAGTGTTTAAGAGTATTAAGCTGTTGATTTTAGCAGTAATAATTATTTATGGTGGTATAGGTGTGATTTTCGAAATATTGCGAACACTGCATGGTTCTGAAACGAGTAAAAAAAGTAAAGCAATCTCGAGATATTTGGGTCATATATTTTTGACCTATAGAAGACGGCAAACATTAAAAAATCATAGGACTTTTTATACTAATCCGTGTTGCAGAACTTAATAAAAGCAATAGGCGTATTCATCAGTTGCCACGTAACGTTACGGCGCTGTCCATCGCTTGCAAGTTCAGTATGATAATAATAAACCCGACTGAATGTAAGCGAGATTACCTGATATGAGATGCAACAAGTCAACGGATGCAGGTGGCTCTGGACTGTGCTTTGTGGCATACCTCGAGATAGCCTATATTCAGCAGTGGGTTTGTGAAGGGATGTAATGATGACGATGATGATGTCGCGTGACCTTGGCAGGTCGACATCAACATGTCGTCAACGTAACTGATGCTATTGACATAGTGTTCGTCAAGAGAGCATGAGAGACCCGTGCGCTGTTGAGTTCCACTATCAGCTGGTTAAGGTATAGGTTGAAAATGAGGGAGAAGTCAAACCACCGTGCCTTAGCCCACATTCCAATCTGTACTCATTAGATAACTGCCCAAGCCATTTGACCTGGTTAGTCTGATGACCATACCAGTACTAAAAGATGTTTACTACATCGGCAGGCACACCAACTTCAGTCAGCTAAGCGTAGAGAATATCTTATCTAACCCGGTCAAATGCCTTCGACAGATCAAAAAACGTAGCCGGTACACATGTATTCCTACCCGTGTAGTACTTGACAATATGCTTGAGAGACATAATTGCACATTCTGTTGACAGGCCAGGTCTAAAACCGAACTGGGTATCATGTAATTTTGGATTTTTTGAGCTGTCTTTCAAGCAAACCATTAAGCACCTTAGCAGTCACCGTAAATAATGAGATCGGTCGGTAATTGGCTTTATTGAAACCTTCCCTTACTTATTCTTTACTGTTGAAACCACGATCATTCTCATAAACTCAGCTTGCAGGAAGGAATGACGCTTACAAATTGTAAATTACATACCCAAAAGTCTCAGTAAGTGCGGCCCTGCGATGAGAAAATGCTCTATGCTGAGGCCGTCATGCTCCGGCGACTTGTCCAGCGTCATACCCTTTATTACTAAAAACACATCTTTAGTAGTAAAGCGATCCAGCATGTCGGCTACAACCACATCTGCATTCACACTTTTTCGACCCTTACCATTAAAATTATGGTTGTACTTGAAAGTGAACCTTGAACAAGTTGGTATAATATCTTTTGGGTCACTGATGCCATCAATTCTCACAGGGACGACAGACTTAGGACTAATTTTTGTTGCTTTCCAAAACTTCCGAATATCTTTATGTTTAGATGCCAAAACTTTTTTTTATAGGATAAGGTTGACAAACGAGCACACAGTCCACCTGATGGTAAGTGGTTGCTGCGGCCCATAGACATCTGCATCTATCCTCTATTACAAATCAAAATGCAGATGCGTTGTCACCCGTGAGGACTAAGATGGAGTGCCTCATTTCCAGGAAAAAGGGTCTCCGGTTCTCTACACTCACCATACGAAACAAAGCAGCGTTAAGCTGCTATTTTACGCTGGTATTCTGTGAGAGCGTGGTCCTTTCCCGGTCTAACCGACCCATTCGTGCTACAACTATACTACTAATAGCTGCAGCATGGCTCTGCCAAGTATAAAAATTCTTCAAAGTATTTCCTGTTGATCTTCTTGATTCAAGACTTCAAAAGCATGAATCTGGTTAAAAGAATTCTCCAGCTATCGGTCACGCTCTCTAAATATCTCCAAAAGTGCGTTAGTTGCGCAGAGATCAGATTCTCTTGTCAGAAAAGTTTCTTTTGATGTATCATATTCAACGATTAATTCGCTTTCATCTCTATACACTACTAAAATCGACTAAAATATTTACTCTAATATCAACTGTCAAAATGGCGTCAATAAAGCAGCGCCCTGTTGACTCTTTATTATTTGATTGACTGATGAAAAGCTAGGCCCCGGTCGAGCCGACCCATTCGTGCTACATATATACTACTAATATAGGTGTACTCGTAGCATGGCTCTACCACGTATCAAATATTACTTTTAATGATTTTTTAGTTGTTGTGACAGTATTTTAGTTTCTTTTTGAATAGTTTTCTAGATTCACACATACCATTAAACAGACAACTACCATACCAAAACACAATTTAAAAACTTTTGCCTGGCATCCCGATGAGCATCCCAAACATGTTTGTTCCAGCCAGCAATAGGTCGGCTGTTCTTTCTGTTTTCTACCCGTACTCCCATAGCTGAGCACCCCGGCATCTTGTGTGTGTTATATTCTTAAGTATGTAAGTGATGTTATAACTTTTTGATAATACGTGTCTATTATGCTCTAAACATTTCTTTGTACATTTTAATAGGATAAGGGTAACAAACGAGCACACAGTCCACCTGATGGTAAGAGGTTGCCGTGGCGCATAGACGTCTACATCTATCCTCGACTATGAATCATAATGCAGATACGTTGTCATCCGTGAGGACAAAGATGGAATGCCTGGTTTCCAGTAAAAGGGTCTCCGGTTCTCTACACTAATCATACGAAATACAGCAGCGTGAAACTGTTATTTTAAGCTGATATTCTGTGTGTCCTTCCCCGGTCGAGCCGACGCATTAGTACTACACCTATAGTACTAATATAGCTGCAGCATGACTCTACTACGTATAAAATACATTACAACAATAGTTTAATTTATAGAGAAAATAAATTTCCCTCAAAATTTCATTACACAATACTTCGTATAGTTCTGTATCTGGTGGTCATATCGATTCCCCAAAATTACTTTGCTAGACTTGTCACTGGATGCACTAGGCAGCCGAAGCGTAGACTACAAGTAAAGCCTTGATTATTTGTTTCAGATTCAACACGGAATTGATGGCTCCGGGATTTTGTGAATTCCGAGAACTTTTTATGCCATATGAGAAATATGTTAATGGACAATCAAAGGCCATAGAGTACTTACGCTCTCTATCTAACAACTCTGATTTTATGACTTATCTTTCTTGGTGCCATAAGCAGAAGGAGTGTAATCGGTAAGGGGACAAATTACAACAAAATGATTTTATCGTGATTTTTTCATCAAAACATAAATACAAAAGTATATTATCAAAAATATATAAAAAGTGTTAGGTGGGTTTTTTCACTGCCGGCTGTATGAAAAAGCACATGGTCGCTCTAGGAGATGAGTGAAGTAATATTATATTTAATTTCACTGTGTTAGAATTCGTTGGTTGAGGCTCATCAGTGTACTGAAGCGATCCATCTCCCACAGATAAAGAAGATAAAGTAACCAGCTCATGAATGTGTATATTTACAAGGATCTAGGTGACTTAAAACAGTGCGAGTTTTAGGAGTTATCAATAAAAATAAATAAAAATTATTATGAATAATATTTATTAAATATATATCATATATCAAATATATAGACATAGACAGCGCAAGCATCGCAGTTTGTATGAATACCATGTGCGCCACATTTTTTTCTATCTGGTATGACGTCACAAGCGCTACTAACTGTTAGGAAATATTTTCCCGTGTTAAATGGATTCAACGATGCCTCGCACCACAAGGTTCTGCAATATTTATACATAAATCTGCATACATACATACATACATACAGCAACTGGATGCGTGTAGCCGAAGATCATACATACATTCCTTGGGGGAGGCAAATTTCGGTAGAGAACTTATGGTAGGCTACAATGACGACGATAATGATGATGATGAAGATAATACAATTCTTAAAAATATGTTACAGAATAACAGATTTGACATTATTTTCATTCAGATTTATGACCTCGGTATGATAAATCTGAATGTGTCTTTTCTTTCTTTAATTTTTACTAATACTTTTTAAATATAGCAAAAGTAAATTGCAATTTGCTTTTGTTTTATTCAATTAACTAAAAATAAACCAATAATGACAACTAGCAACATTACGACAACCCAAAATTTCAGCAAAGGATTCCCTGTTTTTAATTTGTTTGCAATTGTAAAACCGTCCTCGTTATTACATATATATTCGAATACATTATACAAATTTATTACCATATCATTGAAAGTAGGTTAAATATAAAAGTTTATAAAACTACAAAGTCTATAATTTGTGTTATTATTCAACCTTTATACGTTCCATTACTGGTAACGGCAACAAATAATGATTGAAATACATTTGACATCAACAAATATAGGGTTGTAGCTTCCCTTGTTAGGGTTCAATATATTTTGGACAATTCTTTGGAAACTTTGAAAGTTAAAGAATGTGGGTTAAGAATGGATGAATTAACCGTTAAATTCCTTTTGTACACCGATCAAGGCATATTTGCGTCGGTGGCGGACAAGTTGCAAATGATGGTTACATTTAAAGAAAGGAAGAGGAACAGTCATTTAAAGAAAGGTGTCGTCAAAGTGAACGCAAGAAAGATGAAAGTGATGGTTTTACTGCGACAAGAAAGTTAAGCGATATGTTAAATAAGATAAAGATGGGAGTTGGTTGAGCAAGTGGATGAGTTTGTGTATATAGGATGTATGTTTAACAGGGATGGAAGACATGACTAAAATATAAGATGACGAGTAAATGCAAGGCACAGACGAAAGTATGCGTAGGTATAAACGTGACATCTTTTTTCACCGTGGCCATTCTACTACCGACCACTTCCACTCCATCAATCAGGTCATCTAAATCATCTAGAATTTTAGCTCTCACTTGACCTAGCTTTTGTATACTATTCAAAAGCTTTTGATAGTATCAGACAAAAGTAAATTTTCAAAGCTTTACAGAATCAATATATAGACACCACATACATCTAACTACATCTAAAGAATATCATTACACCCTATAAGATCAGTTCTATGATAGGTTCATATTTATGTATAAATAAAAGTGTGAAACAAGGAGGCCGCTGTCTCCAAAACTATTTACGGCCGTAATAGAAGAAGCGCTGGCAGTTAGTTGGGCGAATAGGGGCAATCGAGTTGGACGTGTAAGATTATTTAATATCCGTTTCGCCCATGATACTGGCCACTTTTGTCTTCAGTCGACGAGTTGACTCAAGTGCTAGACGATCTTACCGAGGCAAGCCTCGATATTGGACTTCGAATGAACATATTATCAAAGACAAAATTGATGACGAACAGCACACATCACAAGTGGAGATTGCATATGTCGATGCGTATCGCTGTTTGGGTCAAATAGTCTCCATTCCAGACAAGACAACACAAGAAACTGCAAGACGCACCGAAAGCGCCTAGAAGAGCTATTAGAGCTATGAAAGATCTTATGAGGGGTGATCTTCTTCTGTCCCTGAAATAAAGACTCATAGACATGTGCATACTTCCCATCCTCACCTATGGTGCCCATATATGGTATTTGACTGTTCAGCAGAGGTATACACTTTAGTTTTGTCAAATAGCAATAGAAAGGAGTATTCTCTGCATTAAACTTGTAGACTGGACTATGAATACTGAAATCCGTTTCAGATTGTAAATTGTTGATGTCACACGAAAAACTGCTACGCTTAAATGGGACTGGGGTGGACACATCTGCCGAATGCCAAGTGACCAAGGGACTAAAGTGACAACCCAATGGGTTCCTATGAAAGGCAAACGCCAGGCGGAGATGGCAGGATGAACTGGACTCCTTCCTAAAAGAGTGGTCTGTGCGGCTCTGAAAAAAGAGAAGTAGAAGGAGAGTAGAGAGGTCTTTGCCCTTCAGTGGGACATTTCAGGATATTAATAATAAGAATAATAATAATGGACGTGAAAGAGGCGAGATAGATGTGTCGAATCGTAGAAAATGGAAATCCTACTCCTACTCTGCCTACCACTCTGGGTGACAGGCGTCAGTGTTTATGTATTATGATTAAATCAAAATACCTACCTAATTGATTTTAAAATGAACTACGCACATATTCCAATTTTGTAACTGTTTCTTTTATTCGCTGGTTTTGTAACTAATGAAATGAAACGTCTCCTTTTACTCGGTTGCTCCCAGCTAAGTTTTTCTCCCAGTTAAGTGCAGTTTCTAGTAGCGCAATTTAGTAATTACTTTTCGTTAATAAAACTATTTTGCTTTGTGGTGTTCCTGTAAAATACGAATAAGCTGTACAAAATTTAACAATACACTACCAATTATTTCTCTGAACAGCTATTACAGTTCATATTCAACTGTGATCTTAGAAATGACCAAAGGATTACTTTTTTAGACCATAGTTATAGCATAGCATAATATACGGATATCGCAGATGTGACAAGAATAAATATCAACTTCTTTTTTTTTTCAGACTTCAGCTATCTGATATGTTAGTAAAACCAATGCAACGTCTTACCAAATACTCATTAATTCTACGCAGAATTATTGTCAACACCGACTTCGAACCGGATCGAACATCACTCATTGCTATGGTAATTCTACTTTATTTTTTCTTATTCACCTAATACGAAGTAGACTAATAGCTGAAAATATTTTACGCAAATGATGCAATTTGTGCTGTGGAATAATATCATCTAGACATTTATTATAATAGTACTCGATCTGTATTATATGTGAAATTTGGTACAAGATACAGATTTTACATCTTTTTGAGATAATTGCGAATCTGAGATGGGGCATTTTGGTTTTTGCAGCCTGAGGGCAGGAGCAAACCTTGCCACTGGAAACAACTTTAATAAAAAAGAAAAAAAAATATTATCACTAACATTATTTTTAGTAGTTCCATAATAAATGTATCATATGAATAATTCAAGACAAATTTTGTTATTTCGTAATAAAATAATCAGTAAAATTTTTGTCGTCAAGGAGTTAGTATTAAATAACCGAAACAACAGAATATCAACATAACCCGAAAACAGCTCCATTATATGATTACAAAAAGAAACCTAACAGCAGTTAGGGTGTATAACAAAACTTCCAATTCCGATTTGTGTTGAAGGTACACAAAAATAAAGATTTTATTAACGAACACAAATATTTTACACAGGAAACATTTGCTAAAAACTACTTGTTGGATATTAACCGCGCCATACGGCAGCGCGAAGAATTAGAAAAACTTGATGCATTGGCCAACAGTGTCGATACTTATGAAATTGTAAGTACATTTTCAAAGCAATCACTTTCTCATAATTATTTAAAATTATTCATACTCATCGACTGATCCAACATGGCTCTGGGAGTCTACAACAAATCTTCTCGTCATGTATTCAACCTTGAAAATCTTAAATACAAGAGTGTGCACCCAGTACGTGTTGTCAGTAAGACATATATATACTTTTCTGCTCCGTATGAGGAAACTTAAGGTCCCTCAGCGAGCTACGGAAAGGGTTATGCGTGGAGTTTCTCTGCTTGCTAGACTTCGTAGAGATCTGAAACCGATATAGAGCCAACCAATGGTTCCATAAAGTAATGTAATAATGGGCCGTCAATATAACTTTTAAAACCAACATCCAATGGTAAAGAAAGGTTCTCGTGTGCGTGCCTCGTACCGGTAAGTTAATTATAGGGTGGCCTTCGATAGATTGAGTAACGACCAGTTAAGACATGCAGGAAGCTGATGGATGGCCCAGGATCGTGCTTTGAGTCATTCTTTGGAGAGGCCTGATTTCAGAATTTTACTTGTGACGGGCTCTAATGATGATGGTCAAGATATTTATAAGTGCCAATTTGTATATAGATTGATGAAAATATTTAACTGAATAATTTATAATATTTAATGTAAACGAAAATAATGATAATAACTTTACATTATTAAACAGGTGCCCAATGTTACGCTTTCACAAACTAAGCCCAAAGTATATAAAATTAGATATAATTTTAAAGATTTCAACCGCTTACTAAGCGTGAATAAATGAAATTAAACATTTAGCTTTATAGAGATTTAATTTTGAGAAATTCAAATTATGGTAACAAGTTATTGTATTTTGATGAATGTAAATTAATATAAAAAGTAAGTTAAGTGATTATGTAAAACATTAGATAAAACGTACCTACAGTAATATGTAAACCGGAGTATGAAAAGGTATATTTCACTATATTTACATAATTACCTTATTTTTAAGGCCCTTTATTTCTCTTATCTTTGCTTAAGTCAAGTCGTTTATAAATTTTAAGGAACAATCTACAATAATGTCTATTTTTATGTAACTTATTATTGTTTATTAAGTCAAAAAAAAACATATTTACATTGTTACGTAAGGAAAAGAAACGATCAAAAATGTGTGTTATCTTTTCAGGATTTCAAGGATGAAGATATGGATAGATATTTTAGAATGTTTGCGCAATTGAATCTTAAAGCTCCCATGGTTAACTGTTTACCAAGTCATAGCAGATGTCTTATCTATCAGGGTGATCTGCGCTTTAAAGATAATGTGAAGGAGGCAAGAAATATTTATGATTTTTAACATATTTCGCTTGCGATAATTTCGGGTGCATCCGATGTAAAGTTTGCTTACTTTAATGCGGATTTAAGATTTCTAAAATTTATTTGTTTCATAGATATTTTTCATAGTTCTTTCACTAAACTACATATGTGAAATTCTCCTAAATCCGCATTTTATTTCCGTAAGAGCTATTAGCGAAATTTGTAAACTACTAATATCTCGACGAAGTTTCACATTGCGAATGTTATGTGTTTCTTTCATTTTGTGAGGGCAATGTATTAATTGTACTATATATGAGTTAAATTTAAAATTCTTTTACAGACTGATGTTCGAGTGTTTCTCCTAACTGATATGCTGCTCATTTGCAAGAAACTATCTAAAGGCAGTACTTATACTTACAAGATGATTAGGTAAATTTTGTTAAATAAATTGCAATCATATTTAAATGTTAGCGCTGCGCGAATTTGTATTGCATATGCGAAAATGTGTGTGATTCGAATTAATATTTACTTATAGGCCTAAATACATGGTGGACAAAATGCATCACTTCCCCAAGTTTAGCCGTAGCAAGGAACTGGTTGCTTTAATATTCGTTGTGGTCGATGATGTTAGCTCTTCTTACCATTGCTTCACGTTATCTGAGTCATCTAAAGAAGAAAAACATCATGGTCCTATTAAAGTGAGTATTCAGATACAAACCGCGATATATAAGCATGTGCTTAAGAATGGAGTAACTTTAATAAATTTTTCAGGTAAGCGTCCTTCAGATGTGGGAGCACAAAGTAAAAGAAGCTAAACTGACTTACGAACTCGGCGTGTGGTTTACTAGGAATCCTTCGCGCGATCTCTCTGAAGTCGAAATGGATTCATCGTCAGATTATGCTCTCAGTTTTGGTAGCAGCACCAGACCGGTATATTATTGTATTTATTATTTATAAGCTCTATTTTATCCTCTAGATTTATATTGTTTTAACTGGTTTTATAAGCCAGCCTTTGCTATATTCTTATGATTATGTCATTATCTTATAATTTTACCAATAAATAATTGTCTTCAAACATTGTAATTTAAAAGAGAAAAGTATCTTATTATCAAATTTATAAATAGCAACATAACATCAACATAACAAAAACATTCACGCCTGTCACCTTTCCTGACACACGTCTGTCTAGACTACATAAAAATATCTCCATTAGTTTTTTTTTTTTCAATTTTAAACTCAATATAGTTAGATGTAAGTGTTTCATGGCCGCTATTTTTTAAAATACTAAGAATGTAAAAATATTTGTTCTTTTTTCTGTGCTTTGTATGGGTTTGTACTTCTAACGTTAATTTACTAAAGGTCATCTAATTATTGTGGCAACATTATATCAAAAAGGACATATCCATTATTTCAAGGAAATATATCTTGATGTTTCAATACATTGCCAAATTTTTCGGATATTTTGACCAGCACATAACCCTGCACAACGCAAAAAGAATCTTGAGGATGTATTGAATAAAAATAATTTGACCGCTACATTTACCTACCTGTCAAAATCAAGTTATTAGGACAACAATACAGGAGAAGCAATCCGCTTGCGGTCAAGCTCACTCCGACACCCGACACTTTAAAAAAGTTCATAATTATTATTAGCGGCCAACACGTTTCTTTTTCAGAAAGAAATTTATTTTATTTTCTTTTTGTTTATTTTTTTTTCTACTAGCTGTTCCCCGCGACTTCGCTCGCGTGTTAGGGTTTTTATGTTTTTGCGCGAAATTCTAATTATTTTTCTAAAATAAATGTAACCTAAGTTACTCCTTACGAAATCAGCTACCTGCCAGTGCAAATTCCATCAAAATCAGTCCAGCCGTTTCGGAGATTAACCGGGACAAATAGACAGACAGACAGACAAAAATTTTAATAATTGTGTTTTTGTTTTAAGTATCGTATATACTTTCATATGCAATTAGTAAAAAGTTGTAATATTGACATTACAAACAGACACTTCAATTTTATTTATTTGTATAGATTTCGTCTCAAGACGTTTTATCTACATGAATCATGTATTTCTATATCCATTACCTAATTTGTACGTTCTAGCTTTCAGGACGAATTAAACTATTCAATATTATGTAACGATTTTCAGATATAGACTAGATAAGAAAATTTATATCAACAATACTTTGATTGTCATGGTCGTTAAAGAAATATGAAAAAATTAACGACTTTTTGTTTGTATTTTATTTTTAACAACCTTTTAAAGAATGCGCCATATAGCACATATAAGGACACGATACTACAACGACAAAATGGTATAGGATTTATTAGGATTCTTCTCTAGGGCGATTTCTTAAGTCTATTAAAAGTTTACCTTGTATCAAAATATAGATTACAGTCCTTTTCTGCAGGGTAAGGCAGGGTCTGAAGAGCTTAACATTGAACGGGAGGCACGGGAGAGAGTGGCCGCCATGTTGCACCGAAGTATGGGAGCATCTACAGAATACGAGTTCTCTCAAGTATCCATGGCTACTGACTCCTTCGATGGTACGTAATTGTGAATATTAAATTATAAACTTATATTGATAACTAAGAATAACGAATGAGTAGCTTTTAATGTCATGTGGAAATAATAAAATCATAAAACTTTATTATTGTATTAATTTTGTTTCTTACAACTTTTCATTGTTGAGTACAAAGGGATGGAGTAACACCGGCGTCCAAAAAAAATTGACAAAGAGTCAAAGTTTAATGTTGTATAATAAACGATAAGACATAAACTTCAAAATTAGAAATTAAGTTTTGTTTACTTTTTAAGTCGGCCAAGCCATGGTCTCCGGTGAAGTATCAAGTGGACGTGGTTTCCGTCATCCCATGCATCGGACTTCCACTGGTGGTAGCTCACGCAACTCACGTTTGTCGAGTTTCCAACAATCGACGAGGTAATTTTTTTTAATTTAATCTTAAATTGTAATTTTTAAGAATATCTAATCGTGTAGATATCATCAGATAACCCCTATTCACATAAAGCGGGATGCCTGTTCACATAGGACAGAGATATAATCTTCCCTTCATAAGTACAGTCAAACCTGGCAACTTTATCAGATTTTTTTGATTGCTCAAACTGTGTTTTAATATAGTATTATATATAATAGTAGTATTTAGCTAACATTTTTACAAACGTCGTTAACCTTATCTAAACTATAAGAGGTATTTAAAGAACATAGGTTAAATTGACACGCTAGTGGCAGCTTTACATATGTTTACCTTTACCTGTACATGGTATATATACCATATTTATTAGGTCTTTCTAATTATGCATATTGTGTACAAATTTAAGTCATAAAGTATTCTTCAGAAGGTTGTTTTTTTTTTGTTAAAAATAGAGAAAACAAGGTAACAATTCAAACTACATATAATAGTGGCAATTATTTGTTATAATAAAAATAAATAAATTTATCTACCTATTCTTGACAACGATACACAATAGCACAGTGTACCTACGTTTTACTCGTTTGAATATCTTTGGAAATATTCTCTTGTGATATTCAATGTGACCAAAATACAAACTTGCCTAATCACTTCTAATAGCCCGTCACCTTGGATTCTACTATTCTGAATGTTTTTTTTTTTTATATCAAGTATTACAAATTATTTAAAAAAGTATTCTTTCTTCTACTTCTACTTCATCCAGATTAAACTACTCCATACCTACCAAATGTTCTGTGTATGGATGTTGGTCTAAGTGCAATTTTAACATGTATTTTAAAGTATTGTTATATTAAAGCAACCATAATGATGTCTTATATTTACGCGAATACTACACATTGAATAAAATTATTTTTAAGTATTTTATCGCGTTTAATTAACTTATTTTTTTTTTCACAACACATCATAAATAACATCTCAGTCCCCCTGTGACCATGGGTGCTGTAGAGCACCCGAAACGACGATAATCAAAAATAAGTTAATTAAACGCGATAAAATCCGTAGAAATGGTTTTATTCAATTAGAGATTTCAAAATTTCAAACGTAATTAAACTTGCATATATTTTTTCATAGTGCGGCTTCTCACGATGAGCCTCAACCCGGACCCAGCCGAATTGTTTTTCGTGCTGGTAGTTCCGTAGAGCAACATGTCACCCCTCCGCAGCATCATGATGAAGGTATGTTGTTTTTATTGTATTATATTAAACATTTATTAATCTGAAATGTCGAAAGACTTACAATAGTAATGGTATCGTTCCTAAGATCTACGCTATTAAAAATTTCATGTATATAAAATAATAAATGGAGCATATGAAATAATTTTGCTTATGATCAAAATAAATAAGTAGGTACAGAACACCGACTAAGTACTTTCACAAGCACTCACAGAAACAAAAGCTCAGGGTCGAAACTGCAGTAAAATTAGCGCTCTAGTAGTTTTCATAAGCAGTAACTGTATGAATAATACAATAGAGAAGTTGCATTAATATTTTTGCCACAATGTATATTTCAATGAAAGAATTCATTTTAAGTATATTTAAATATTTTTTAGTAACAATTCCATTTTTTAGTAATTATAAATAAAAAATAATTTAATTTTTAATGAGACAATCGACTTGTGACTCATGACGTCATTATACTTATTCGTTGAGGATGTGAGCCAATCGCAATCATGCTTTACTTTTTTATTTTCTCTATTCGGATTACCATTTGTCAAACATTTTTTTAAGTCTATTAAATAATTTCAAAACATATAAAACCTGTGTTATGCAATGACAATTTTTTTAATTTTGCCAAAGTAAACATAAGTGTTCTATCATTTCAGATATAAATGACGACACTGGCGTTTGAATTTATATTTATTTATATATCAGAAAAACCATTTTTAATTGTAACATTATATGAGAATTTTTAGTAAACTTTCAAACGAAAATTAAAAATCATGCAACTTACTATTATAGAGTTATATTAAAAAAATCAGTTAAATTTGGAGTAATGTCCATTTTTAACGTAAATATTAATAAATATATTTTTTTCAGTTGTCACATCAATCACTGTGAACGTAGTAAGCGAGAGCGAATCAGAGACCATCGTACCCGCTCAACCACCGGTAATTATATTTTATAAACAATTCATTTACTACTATTACAATACGCACTATTATTATATACTAAATAGTACGTCTATGTATAAGGGGAGAGATATTATATACTGATGTAGAAACATCAAGGTGCGAGAAATTTGGTACTGTGACAATGAAGTTTTAAAAGTCAGGAGAGGTATATAATGATTATACGAGTAAATACGCTTAAGAAGACGGAAGCTGCACAATGCTACACGGCGGCAGTACTGCACTGTAACGATTCAATTATTTCTCCAGATGAATGTTCAACCGGTCTTAAGCAGGCGTATTAAACTTTATAGACAATTAAGCTGAAGAATCGTTTAGTTGACTGCGTTGTCGTTTCGACATAGCACGTCTCATGTCACGGATGGGGTATCTGTGAAGCTCTGGTTTTCTAAGATTACCGTGCTGCCATACAGCGGCTGTAACCCAGCGGCCGTAAAGAGACGGCCGTCCTTACGGTAACAGCACGTGGAAAGTTCCATCACAGCTACGACTATCTTTTTACAATAAAATTTCTGAAACGAAACCGGTCACCGTTGTCGAAGAAACGTTTAGAACTATCTGGCACCGTCAAAACGGCCGTCACGCAAATATGGACAATAACTTTGACGGCGTCAAACACCGCTCTCTAGTACACCACACTATTTTAAAAGCTTTTATTTAACTTGCAATTTTTAATACATGTTTAGTTTATGACTGAGCTAGGTGATGTCATACTAAATCCAATACGATGCACACCCAAAGATAGCGGACTATGTTTTTTTATGCACCCCCATGAAATGGATATCAAATGAAAATTTTCGCTGAGAAGAATACGAATAAAATGACGTCCGCATTCAGGTCTTCGAGGAGATGGCGAGATTTACCTGTGTAGATAAGCAAGAACTAACTGTAAACTCTAACTTGATATTGACATAAGTAGGTAATTCTAAGATAAAAAAAATAATGCTTTTATAAAATAGATAAATCTCGCGACACGGTTTATATTATAATATAAATTGCTAAATTGCGTAATATAATAAGTTTGATTAGAGTTTATATATATTATTCTTCTTAGAAAATTTCAATAAAAGCTTGTTTTTAAAAATGTTTTCAGTATTAATTTATTGTTTATAGCGACAACGTTATAGTGCCGTAATTCACCGTTTTATTACGACTGTCATGTAGCGGCACCGCAATCCTAGGAAACCAGATACAGACCTGTTAATGATTTCTAATATAGTCTGTCTGTTTCAATGGCAGGCGGACAAAACGGGAAAAAACCTTTTAACATACTGTAAGGATAACCAACCTTTTTGCCATTTTCCCACTTCAATTTTCCTCTTTCTTCTTTGATCATAGTATTTATTATATATTGGTCTTAGATCTTAGCACCTTCTGTGTAATCAATACTTACTATTATTTTCCTTACACTATGAAGAGGTAAGTTTATTTATCACAAATATATTAATAAAATATTAGATTGACCATATCAGTAAATTAATTAGTATTTATCCTTTCTTTTATATTTATTTCGACTTTGATTTGGTATTAAAATATTAAGGTTCATAAAATACAAAAAATAAAAAATGGATATAACAATTTTTACGGTTTTTAATAAACACGTACTTTGCGAAATTAGTGGTAACTGGCTTGTTATCTCTGAAAGATCGGTTCTTTTATCTCACCGTGTACTACTTAATGAGGTTAGATGTTTAAATGATAAAGAAATGTATAGAAAATACGTTTTCCGTAAATGCTAACATAATACTTAGTATCTTTGTCTGTTTTTCTGCCTGATATGGATTTACACTTTTTATATAGAATAAGGATGACAAATGAGCACACAGTCCACATGATGTTAAACGAATGCTGTGGCCCACAGACACTCTATCAATCCTTGAATAAGAATCAAAATACAGATGCGTTGTAACCCTTGAGAACGAAAATGGAATGTCCCGTTTCCAGTAAAAACGTTCTTAGGTTCTCTATAATAACACAGCAGCTATTTTATTTATGAGAGCATGTTCCATCGCGGAGCCGGCCCATTCGTGTTACAACCGTAATATAGCATGGCTCTATCACGTAAAAAACTTTAATCGGAGTGAGTAATCGGACGTGAGATTGGTAATTTCCCAACATATTTATTATAACAAACTTGACCAAAATATCCCAAAACAAGCGTTAATTAATCTGCAATCTCGATTACATGATTAGAATAGTGTTACCAAAACAATTATTTGCTTCAAATTTTCACAACAATACCTTACTACTGTATTAAATATCTACTTTTGATAATAATGAATTTAAAACAAAGAAGCTTTTAAAGGATAAAGTATTAGAATAGATTAGAATATTTTTTTCAATATATTTTATAAAACATTCTTGTTGAAAGTTGTTTTTTATTTTGACCACTGGCCTAAAAAAAACTCCGTCCTGGGAAGAACCAGCAAGAGACCCAGCGGGACATTTTTCCACAGTAACATTGTACAATATAAAATGGGGTGTACAATAATTTATAAAACTTATATAAGAAATAGATTAGAAGTGATTACCTCATTCCAAAGGGTTATTTTCAACCATGTAATCATTTATATTATTAAAAACATTTTTATAAAGTTTTTGCTTGTATACTATTTTCTGTAACTTTGTAGTAATAGCATATATTTACATTTCTCCATGAATGTATTACTGACTCTGTGGAATCGAGTAACGGGTATCACAAGCTTGTGTTTGCTCCAGGTGTTTATAGAATGTAACTGTAACACTTTTTATTAATTAAACTGCTTTAGTTTTCGTAAACATGCATTAAATTTCATAAATATCCTGAGTGGTCTTTTATTTTATTTTTTTCCGGGATACTTTCAGTTTTAAGTTATAAAACTCTCATAGTCCTCTTCCGCAAAACAAAAAATAGTATAGCCCTATCAAAATCCATAGCGAAATCAGTCAATCAAGTCAAAGGTTCATATACTAAAAAAACGCCGCCGCAAACTAAAGCCTTTATTAGCTAACTAGAGCTGCCCGTATTTTTTAATATTTATTAATAGATAGCTGTTTAGTATAATAAACGGATATTAACCCGTTTATTTGACAAAAAAGAAGTCCAATGGCTGTTTAAGTAATCTGTCTGTTCTGCATTTAGTCCTTTCAAGAGACTTCTTTCCATTTAAATATATATTTAAAAATTTGATGATTATTACTCGACTGCCAAGGAAGGGTTATGTTTTTCGCGCGTATCTTATATGTATGCATGTTTATAAATTTCTTTATTACCTCGTATTTTACAAACGGCTGGATGCATTTAGAGAGTGATTTTTGGCGGGAAATAGTAAATTACGTTAAAAAAAATTAACCAACACTATCGAGTAGGGTATCAAAATAAAAGACATTAAAAGGGGATTACAAGCACATATAGAAGTCATATATATGTAGATATATATGTTTAATATATATATATACTTATAAATTGCCTTAAAAAGTTTTTGATAGCGTAAATATGTTCCATTATCGTGTCGGACCTCGTGATATCATATGAAATTATTTCATAAATGTGTGTCAGTACATTAAAAAGTCTAAAATAAAATAAATAATTTAAAAAAAATCAAAAACCCGACAGCAAAAAAGACAATTTAAAAGTAATCCACTAAAAATACCGAAACAAGATTGAGAATAGAAAACAAAATTAAAAGAAACTATAAACAAAGTAAACTCTTACTTCGGTTTAACAGACTATATTAATGAGAGCAAGCGGAACCTGTTAATTTTCTTACAGTTTATAATTTGCAATTGTGTCCCGCCTGCTACTAAACTTAATGCGAGTATTTAACTTAGGCTTTCAGCTCATAACACAGTCTGTTAAACCGAAGTACAGTTTACTTCGTTTATAGTTTTTTTTTTAACCACTGTTTCTTAAAACTCAAACAATAACTTAATAGTCTGCTTTTTGTTTGCCGTTTTGTCCATTTAAGTTCCAAGTTAGATCACCACGCCGAAAAGCTTAAAAAGCCTTTACAAAATTTTCTTGAATAGCATTTTTATAACAGCCGCTTTTGTTCACGCGGCCTCTTCTCTAAACGAGCATTTCCCTTCCACTTTGAATTGTAATGTAGCTCCAAACCATTATGTTACCTTCAGCTCCCGCTTTTTCCGCCCGAGTAATTTGAGGCTTTACTTCCGCCTACGTTTTTAGGTAGCGCAGGCAAATGAGAAACATTATGGATATGATTTACTTTTTTATTTTATTTTGTTACTAAAAGCGAGGTTTCATTACACATTGATAAAATATAATAAGAATTAGATTAAATATCAATTGCCTCCATGATTTTCCTTATAAAATGAATGTTTTTTGCCCCGTCTGCGTTCCTTTATTAATCATTCGATTCCGATGAAACTTGATTTTGAGCCTGCTAAGGTTATCACCGGAGAAGCGAAAGGAGATACGATATTGATACGACGAATCCCCACTATCCCCGCTAATATATCTTTCCAGTTCAAACGCTTACATTTCTCTTTCAAAATAGCATTTTGAATGAATGTTAAGAAAAGTCAAGAATCAACACTAAAATTGGTAGTAATACTAATAGAACCACCATATATTTTTCATATGGATAGCTCTTTGTTGGCTGCTCGCGTGTATCGGGAGCCAAATATTATAGAAAGTTTACAGAGATGTACTGCAGTAAATTTTAGGCTCCCAAGCTTTTGGACGTGTAGACGCACAATCTCTCATAAACTCATCTCATATCTCATAAAGGTAGCAAGTATCAAAAGACAAGCGCTATAATTAATTTTTAATTTTAATTTTGTAGTGAAAAAATACCACCATGTTATTTGTATTAAACACATTACTTTTAACCTCCGATATCAATCATGTTATGTTAAAACTACCGTATAGTATATGTTTAAATAAATGTTGTCCAGTGACAAACCATTTTGTAATATCGCATGCCAGGGTCCTGAGATACAAGCTGCGCTTAGTTTAGGACCCGCAGTTACCTGTGTTTTTATGTTGTTAAATAAATAAATAAATAAATATTACTTTTGATACTTGCTATCTTGATATTTCAAAAACGGTTTTGATAACTGAATTCGACTGGAAGCTATAT